CCCAGGACGGGGGAAGAGTTTTGCAGGTATTGCTAAGGAAACACTCCCGTTGACATTCTTCTGCTCCTCGCTTGCTATATTACGCTGCTAGAGACCACAGGTGCAAACGCAGGTCTGCCAAATACACAGAAAAAGGGCAGTATCTGCCCGATAATGTGTTTGGAAATGCAGTCTCTAGGTTAGCCATAGCTGCTGCCCTTCTGTTCGCCTTGTACGTGGTGGCATGGAGCAGTAGAGGGCAGGTCTTCTCCGTCTGAGCTCCCAACGGCAGACACTGTGCGTGCAAAGGGCACCGCATCCTCCGCTCCGAATGGCAGCCTGGTGTATCTGGTGTGCACGGCTGAGCATCACACAGGCAGATTTTGATATCTTCCCTGTGACAGTCGTGTTAAGTGTGATGTAGCTGCGATGGTCCAGAGATCACGTGACGGGCAAGGGTGTCTTAGGGCGATATATTTTATTGGACCAACTGTGTAGTTGGGATATCTTTAGACAAACTTTCCAATGTAAGATCTTCATCCTCAGGTCTCTGAATATAGGAAGCCACGCGCAGTAAGTGAAGCATGGCCACTACATGGGGGAAACTAAACAGCCACAGCACAAGAGAATGGGCTCTCACAGAAACAAAAATGTAAAGGGTGGAGATGTAATATAAAGGTTGGTCTAATAAAAGAGATCACCTTTATGCAAAGAACCTTATCTGTAGACCAACACAGCTATAACCTGAAAGGATTGAGATGCATGTGCGCGCGCACGCACACGCACAAACGCTAGTAGCACGTTTCTTGCACGAAATCTGCTCCATCTCTGACCTCACTATACTCCTGCTCAAGGGAAATCTATTTAACGCCTTTCATTGACTTTTGGGAACAAGCCACTGGACACTTAAGAACCAAGTCTCCTATTGGATTTATGGCCCACTACAATTTACCCAACTCCTGCCTGCTCTCCACACAAGAAAGGTGAGATCGAGCCCCCTATTTCCCCCCTTTGATAGGCCTTGATCTCCCAGCCAGCCACTGCTTTTCTTTTGCTGACTGTGCTACAGCTGAGAGTGTCTCAGCCCTTCCCCTACACTGTGCTTCGCCTGCTGTGCTTGGCTTCTTATGTTCAAACACCTGAGGACGAACATCTTATGTTGGGAAGCTCGTCTAAATATATCCCAGCTCCATAGTTGGTCCAAGTAAAAGAGGTCGCCCCGAGGAATCCTTGGCTCTGATGAGGAGAGCAGCAGAGCAGGGGTGACTCCAGCCCGCAGCTCCCGGGTTTCTCTTGCACAAAGCCTCAAGCAGCGCGGGGCTGGGGAGGAGCCGCTGTTAGTGCCCAGGTGGATCGGCTGCAGACTGACACTGTGAAGTAGCCCTGCTTTGAAGAGAGAAAACAGCCCAGACTGCTGGAGAAGTCAGGCTGCAAGGGACGTCCCCACAGTGGAAGGGGCACCCCCGGGCCTGGGCACAGGCTGACCAGGGGCTGCTCCACAACCCAGGACCTGGGGATGGGCAAGCAAAGCTGCCCTGGGACTGGGCCAGGAAGGGGCTTCTGAGCCCAGGGCAGCAGGGCTTGGTGTGCACATGCGCATGGGTGTGTGTGTCCATGCACTGCCTGGCTCTGTGTGTGTGCAGCCAAGTGTGCACGTGTCTGTCCATCCGTCCGTCCGTGCGTGGTTGCAGATGTGTATGCTCATGCACTGCTCTACCTGTGTGTGTGTGTGTCCATGTACTGCCCAGCTGTGTGCACACGTGCCCGTGTGTCTGTCCATGCACTGTTGCACGTGTCCATGTACTGCCTCAGTGCTGTGTCCGTGCAGTCACGTGTGTGTTGTGTCCATGCAGTTGCATGTGTCTATGTGTGTCCATGCATTGCCCAACTGTGCGCATTCAAGTGCCCATGTGTCTGTGCATGCAGTCGCACATATCCATGCACTGCCCCAACTGTCCATGCACTGTCACGTCTGCATGTGTGCACACGTGTATCCATGCGCTGTATGCAGTCTCCCTTGTGTGTGCCCACGTACTGCCCCCGCTGTCTGCACGTCTACGCATGTGTGCATCCACACACTACCTAGCTGTGTTTGTGTGCGTGTGCATGCGCTGCCCCGGCTGTGTTGTGCGTGTCCCTGCACTGTTGCATGTGTATGTGCACATGTGCGTGTCCATCTATGCACTGTCACACGTGTGTGTGCCTACACACTGCCCAGATGTGTTGTGCATGCCCATGTACCCTCCCGTTTGCTCCCACCCGTGTGCCCACGCACCGCCCAGCCCGGCGGGCTGCAGCCGGGCTCCCGCGCACGTGCCCAGGCGTGAATGACCCGGACGGCGGGGCGGGGCCTGCGCGGGAACCCCAGCGCACCAATCAGCGGCCCCTCCGGGCCTCACGTGATTCCCCATCGCCCCGCCCCTTCCCTCCTCCC